GTTTTGGGGGGGAGGAGGGGGCTGGTAAGAGAGAAGGAAAAGAAAAAAAGAGAAAAATGATAGCACAGACTGCTGGGTCAGTTAAAATCTGTAAACTCGTTAAAAGTGAAAAGGTGAGCCGCAGAAGCTCGGGTCGTGCCAAGGTACCATCTCTACGTCTCTATCTGATCATTTTTGCACGTGATCATCTCGTCACATATAGATTACCTAAGTCGTACTAGCTGGAGGTAGCTGCCAAGGTACCCTATCTAGGTAGCTCTACCCAGCAATTAGGATGAAGAGGAATCAGCCCATGATCATTTTGACCAAGTTTATCTACCAACATGCATAAAGCTCTTGGATTCTTTGTTCTGTCAGCGACGATCACCCTGGGTATCAGCAATCCATATGCATCCATCATCGCACTAGATTCATGTGCCAATGCACAAGGCTCAGAGATTCCGTTTCTATCCAATGATACCGCCCAACGACTTCTGAATTATCGAATGAGGTCCTCGACCGTATCGGCCCTCAGGACCGTTGATCTAGGCATTGTTGAACTTTTGGATAGATTTGGGGGAATACAGCCGTCGTTGTTCGGCATTTCAAGTGATGACCAGGACTCGAGATCCAGTTTGATCATTCTACATGGGCTAGACCCTGCCATTGGTAGGTCTTTTCAATGCTGATATTGTGAAGCAGCCACTCAATTTCCGATAATTATCTTGGTAGAATCTTCCATTCAAAACGAATACAGGCAAGGTCTGGTACATTTCGACTCTCGAGCTGCATTTTTGCATGACATTTCCCTTGACCGGAACATCGATGGCGAATCGGAAGATGCTGGAGCAGCCGATGGTCGTTGCCTGAATTACCTCGACAGCAAAGAAACAGAACCGGAGAATATGCAGGTAGATATCGATTGCTCTCGCGTGCAGTATTAAAGAGGTATTCGAACTGACTTGCGATTAACCCTAGACACTCTTATCTTGCCTACCTAACGCGTCGGCTTTCAAGCCAGTGGCACGCGCATTTGGCCAACAATTACCTGAGTACGTCAATGTCGTGGAATCATGGGTTAACGATCAAGAGCCCTCAATCTTGAGGTTATGGTTCAAGGTACTCCTTCGTCTATACCTATCAGTTTTCTCGTATTTGACAGACATTGCAGTCTTTCTCCGGATCAGTGCCTCACACAGCACTGCTTGGCTTGCTGAAATCTCTTATGAGTGATCTCCATTCGCTCTCGCTGAATGGTACAGCAGTGACTCTGTTATTCATGCCGAACTCCCAAAATTCCCGAATGCCGCAAAGCCCAAATCATCGTGGTAACCATGAAGCCAAGATCTTACAAATAGCCACAGACATGGTATCTCCGTCACTGTTGAGAAGACAGTCACCTGGTTCAGTGTCTCCGAATCCAATCTGCCATGTCACCAATTCATCTTGTAACGAAGCAACCAGCGGTTGTTCGGGACATGGGTTTTGCTACAGGAAGTCAGAATCAAAGAACGGACTTACTAACAATGACTGTTTTATGTGCAAATGCCAGGCAACTACCATCAGAAAAGAGGATGGTACGACCCAGGTTATTCGATGGGGCGGCGCCGCTTGTGAAAAGCGAGATATCAGCTCTCCCTTTTTCCTTTTAGCAACTGCCAGCATCATAGTAATCATGGCCTTGGGCGGTGCTATTGGAATGTTGTTCAGAGTTGGGCAAGGCGACCTGCCGGGCGTCATCAGCGCTGGGGTTGGAGCCACGAAAGCACAGGGATAAGAATACCTCTTTGGGGGGTGGTCCCTATGGGAGTTACTGCGAGATATTTGGTTGAGGGCGATGCTGTGCCAGTGTTCACTACACAAAGCTGACCGCGCAAGGTGTTGCTGTCATGTTTCGCTATGGATGCGACTTTGGAATTGATATTGTGACTTTTTTTGAGACTAAACTGTCAGATTCTCCGGGATCTTCAGGGTCTGACCTGCTTATACCTACATTGAAGACAACCAACATTATTTGGCAAAAATAAGGGCGTAAAGGAGAAATAAATCCTTGCACGTGAGCAATTGTTTTGCTGAAGCAAATCTCAGCGGCCCTTGAAACGGGCCTAGTCTCTTGAGATAATACGTTCATTGACGCCATCCAGGGCAGACAGAATGAAGTATATGGGGTCCTGCGAGAGAAAGCAGAAAGAATATCTGAGTGACTCCTGAGTCCGCTCGTTGATAAAATCATGCTGTTGGCATTGACCACTTTGAGGCGAATTTCGGCACTGGCCATGATTCAAGCAAAGAGACAAATCGATATGCCATACGCCGATTCATCAATCACGTAGGGTTGAGGAGCAATAGACCTGCGCACAATATGACTAGCTGTGATTTAAGGACGAAAGCCGGCTTCAACTTCTGCAGGACTCCGACTGTCACTCGGTTGAGAAGGACCTATAGCGGAACGCGCATTTCTCGATGCACGATGCCAACTTGAAGCCGGAAGTCGGAGAGCGTTGCGAAGACGAGGGAACAACAATCTTGATCCCGAAGGCCGAGGTCTGGAGTTTTCCAAATTCGTGTCAGGTGTATTATGCGCCATGGGCGAATGGACATTGAGTGCGCCCGAAAGCTGCGATGGCGGGATTCTACCGCCTTGCGTGAGTCGCTGGGGCAATATCGTTGTTCGATGAAATGGATTCGATCGCCATCCTATTAAGACAGGCCGCGGTCGGCTGGGAGCATGTATTCCCACCATACTATGGCGATCCGTGCTCGTATGCTCTGCCACCGGATCAGGGCGAGGTTTAGGAGTGAAGTAATCTGCTTTGCAGAGGGGACAGCATGCCCTTCGACTTGTCAACCATGGATCAACGCAGGATGCGTGGAAAGCGTGACCGCACGTCAGCCCACGTATGTCATCGTCATCCTCGATTGCATCAAGGCAGATTGCACAGGAGTCCCCGGGAGTGGGAAGACGCTCGGCTGGTGTTGCAGTCCGGATGGGATGATCGGCGTCTCCGATGTCTTCCAACCCATTGCATTCACAACCGTCCTGATCATGTACGTGTTTGATCTCATGTTTGGTATACCTTGTTACCTCTGGAGTGTGCGCGCAATCTGCAAAAACTGAACGGCTATCGGACTTTTCGTCTAGCTGAGCGAATTGTGTTCCATCATCTGGAGCAACTGTTGAAATTTGTGCGATGGCGGAACTAATCTGCTGTTGACGATCTGTCGATGCAGGTTTCGCTAAGGATGGCGATACACTAGCATCTACAACCAATGCGCTGTTCTTGATGTTTGAACTGTGTGGACTGCTGTTGGCTGCGGATATCATCTCTGCGGTCGGCATGTTGGCGTTTGCCCGCGTCGACCTCCATGCCTTGTACTTAGTGAGTGGAAACCGCAAATTAACTTCGTCCATGGTCATCAACTTCTTTTCCCTTCTTCGTCTGTGCGTACGGGGCATAGTGACCAAGCCTATTGGTTCTCCCGTTTCTTCGTTTCGTAGCTGGCGATTCCGCTGATTATATCGAAAGCAATACTTGACACCAACGATGATCCTAGCATCAAACCTCAGATATGAATCGATGCGCACGAAGTGCAGACAATGACTCTCTGAACATACCATAGATTAGTGAAGACGACCCCGAAACCAAGGGCAACAAAGAACAGTAGCGGTGAACTCGTAGGGCTCGAACTGGAATCAGCAGTTCGATCGCTGTTTGTGGAGCCAGAAGAAGGAACTGTGCTTGTGGAGGACATCTTTAGGATAAGAGGCCACAATTGCAGGACTGATGTTGACAGTGCAGTATCGATCACTTAACAAAAGGAATGAACCTTTTAAAAGGTGGAAGTATTCTGAATGTTTCATTGACTGGGCAAAGACAGGTAGGTTGCTGATGAGTAAGGTTTCAGTCCTTTCAATATACCTTAAGTGAGTATAAAGATCTTGAAAGAGGGATGCTTTGTAGGTTGTGCTGTAATGTATATCAACTCATCTGGGGGGCAGCGTATGACTCCAGTTACACTTAAAGCTGTGCACCTGGGGAGTCATCACTAAACGTGCTGTGTGTTTGGGTTAACTTGCTGAAGTGTCTCTATCTTCCTTCTTGCTTTTCGTTGTTTTAGCACTGAACCCCTCTGCAAGATCTCATACTCTTCAAAGTTGTCACAGGTTTTCAGTTGGGCCGTTGAAGGGTACCATACTTGCGGAAATAATAGATAGTGAGAGGCTAAATATACTTTGGGTCACGAGGTCTCTGTCATATACGGAGTAAATATACCTCTCATATAATTATAACCCTTCGGAAATGTAGAAATTTATAAACATTCCAAGCACAGTAAGGAAATAACATGATAACAAGGAATAACACCATGTACAAGTGAAAGAGTTTGTTAATCTATATACACTCCTTAAGTCATGTTCGACATCTCACCATTACTGCTGTCAAGGATTAGGTTATTAATGCACACTTTTGTAGCTCTTGGACTATGGAGTAGTATGTCGCTGTTATCACTTACATGTAAGTGCCTCAGCATGCAGAGAGAGAAATAAGGCTTTGCTGACCTGTGCAGGTCAAACAGAACCGTTCTTCCTCTATCTGCTCTCAAGATGGATAGATGCTTCGTGATACAAGTTTTCCCCTTGCTTACATGTTGGGTAGGTTTAGATAGGCCAATGACACCCAAATCAAGGGACGAGCCAACTTATCCCAACCAGCTCAACAAGCCTTGTACAGCAACCTACCTTTTGCTCTTAGACTAATTACCTCGCCCCTGACGAGGACTAAATGACAGAGAGCACAATAATACCTTGCAGACACCCACACACAATCGGATATACAACCATCAGTATGGAGAATATCAAAGTTATGCATAATCTTTACTCTGTCCTCGCCCCATATGGGCTGCATACACAGATACCTAGCTTTTCAGAAGACGATCCTTTTCTTTTCTTTCCTTTTTTTTTATTTATTTTTTCTTTTCCCTTCCTTTGTTCCATCAATCCAAGTACGGAATAGTCTGGAGAGGAATATCCCTGGGTGCAGATTACTTCTGTCATATCTAATCTATACTAAAACCACCAACAGAAAAATATCCATATGTAGAGGATTTTAACACATTAAACCAAAGACATTGATAATAAATTATTATTCTCCCACTCGCATTATCAGAACATCAATATGGAAGACACTCCTCTGGATCCAGCGAGGAACACCAATCCAGTTGTTTTTTTCGACATAGCCCTAGGAGGTGAGCTTTCAGTACCTGGTTTTCTATCTCAGCCTATACCGAATGTGAAGATGTTGTTACTTGCACCCAGCTTTTCGTGCCCCCCTTGGCATCTTTGCTGGCATATGTAGATAATGGCAGTCGATCAGATCCAATTGACTCTGTCTACTATAGTCCCGTAACTGACATTGTGTCGCAATAGGTGAGCCGCTAGGCCGCATAAAAATGGAGTTATTCGCAGATGTCACTCCTCGGACAGCAGAAAATTTCCGCAGATTCTGCACAGGGGAAAGCAGAAATTCTCAAGGAAAACCTCAAGGCTACAAGAACAGCAAGTTCCACCGAGTAGTACGTCTACCGTCCTTCGTGTCGGCGCAGAAAGCTGATTCGAAATCCCTCCAAGATCAAAGATTTCATGATACAAGGAGGTGATTTTGTCAATGGAGATGGCACAGGCTCCTGTACAATTTTTGGTACACCTAAATTTCCAGATGAGAACTTTATTCTGAAGCATGATCGTGCAGGTCTTTTAAGCATGGCTGTAAGTTGACATAGGTACCGTTGAATTGGGGATGGTGCTGAGTGCTACAGAACTCTGGGCCAAATACAAATGGTTGCCAGTTCTTCATAACAACCACAGCGACTCCATTCTTAAATGGGAAGCATGTTGTGTTTGGGCAGGTAGTGGACGGCATGGATATCGTGCGGATGATCGAAAACACGCGCACAATCAGGGACAAGCCAAATCAGGATGTGATCATTACACAATGTGGAGAGATGTGAGGATATTCTGCTCTGTCCTCACTTTTCCCGGTCCTCCTATAGGATTATAACCATAAAGATGATTAGCTCGTACTCAACCTGTTTTCAGACACAGTTCGTTTCAAGCTCGAGTGAAAGGGCATCTAAACCCCAAGGTTCGGATTCACCATTCATTGCAGGGCAAACCCAGATAGCAACACTCAGTTACACAAAACCCTCAAAGCTTGAACTTTGCCAAGTAATCAGAAGCCAATGCAATTGCATCCTCAATCTTGTCTGGATGCACGCCATTACCGATAGACGTTGAACCTTTCCCACCAGCTTTCCCTCCGACAGCGCTAGAAACAACCGCAGCCCAGTCATTGGCTGAGGCCCCTTGGTCAAGTAATGCCTATACAACAGAAGACATCATGAGACTTGACTTCGAACCATATTGGAAACGCGACGGAAAACTCACCTTTGAAACATAGCATCCATGAGCAACGCGACCCTGCTCGGAATCGGCGGCTAGGACATAGACGGTCTTATCTTGCAACTTGGACTTAACATAGTTTAATGACTCGCTCACGGCCTTCGAGTTCGCAGAAATAGGAAGCCTGGTCACCAAACAGGTCTTCCCTTCGTTTGTTGGGGATTCAAAGTACGAAATGATTGCGTCAAGCGCCTTCTTGGCCTCGAGTTTCTGTTGCGCTTTTTGTCCGTCAATGACTTGCTTGTTAATAGATGCAAAGCGCTCTCGAAAACGAGATTTTTGGACCGCAGAAATCGAAAGTTGGTTTAGTTCAACCTGTATCTGCTTGGCTTCCTGTTCTTTCTGCGGCCCCAGAGCCATTGCATCCAGGCGATCTAATCGCCTCTCGAATTCTTTCGCAACTCGCTGTACTTCATGAGCATCCTCCCCAGTCACGGCGATGATCCGACGAATTCCCTTAGCGATGCCATTCTCTTCCAAGATGATTAGGTCCTTAATGTCCCCCGTCTTCTGGACGTGAGTTCCGCCACAAAATTCTATGCTGACTTCAAGCCAGCGAGGATCTTCCACATTCTTCAATATCTCTTCCACCTCCACACCGACAGAAACAACCCGGACGGGATCCGGGTACGTCTCGCCAAAGACAGCTCTAACACCTGAGATCTGGCGAGCAGTGGCAAGAGGAACTTCTTGGGAGTAGACATCACAATTTTGGCGGATATACTCGGTTGATATTTCCTCGATTTTCTCTAACTCTTTCTCTGTGACCGCAGACTTGTGAGAGAAATCAAATCTGAGTTTTTCAGCAGCAACAAGAGAGCCCTTTTGCTCAACAGTATCTCCGAGAACTCTTCTGAGCGCAAAGTTGAGGATATGTGTGCCCGTATGATTATTTCGGATGGGCCAGCGACGAAGCTCGTCGTATTCACAGAGGACAGCATCGCCGAGTGAGAAAAAACCGTACTTCATGAAGCCAGTATGGAGGACATAGCCAGCGTAAAGCTGAACATCACTTACTTCTAGCTCAGCCCGTCCGTCGATAATGATTCTGCCGGTGTCGTTCTCTTGTCCCCCCTGTTCGGCGTAAAAGTTCGTCCGATCCAGAATGATGCCTATCTGGTCCCCATCTGGTATCTGCGCCGACGATGAATGGAAGTTCTTTCCGTGATAAATCGCTTTGATTTCAGCGGTAATGTTACCCTTTCCAAACTTGGCGCTGTCGTCCGTTTTGGGGACGTCATTCATCTTCTCCAGCTTTCCCAGGTCATGAACGTCCAGTCGGAGAGTTCCTGTTGCGGACTTCTTCTGTCCCTTACTAGCCTCCTTGGCTCTCAACCGCGCTTCTTCGAATTCAAGGTCATCAATATTCAACCCACGCTCTTCCGCCATGAGACGAGTTAAGTCGACCGGGAAACCGAAAGTGTCATACAGGCGCCAAACGTCAGCACCATGGAGCTTGTCACTGCCTTTGATCTTTGCTTGCTGCGCATAGTTCTCGAACTGTCGCTCACCGCGATCTAAGGTTTTGGCGAACGAGATCTCTTCCTCGTCCAATATTTCCATGACATCGTGCTGCTTTTTCGTCAACTCGGGAAACATGTCTCCGAGCTGTTCCACGAGTGTTGGGACAATTTTTGAGAAGAAGTTTCCAATCTCAACCTGGAAGTATTTTCGAGCATAGCGAGCGCCCCGGCGCAAGACTCGTCGAACAACATAGCCACGGCCATCACTATTCGGCGTCACGCCGTCTGAGATGGCGAAAGTTAGTGTTCTAACGTGGTCCGCGACAACACGATAAGCCGTATCGATGCCATCAGAATCATCGGCACCAAACATTCCTCGGTATTCCCGGGCTCCAGTAATGTTCTTGATAGCATTGAATAGGGGAGAGAACACGTCGGTATCATAATTTGACGATTTGTCCTGAAGCACTGACACTAATCTCTCGAATCCCATTCCAGTGTCGACGTGCTTATTTGGCAAAGGCCTTAAAGACCGATCCGATTCGCGATTATACTGGATGAACACGTTGTTCCATATTTCTAGAACGTTGGGATCATCTTGATTGACAAGATGAGCCGCATTGCGGCCGCCGATCCGATCATAATGAATCTCACTACAGGGCCCACAGGGGCCCTGATCACCCATCTCCCAGAAATTGTCCTTCATGTTTCCTGGAAGGATATGATCTTCCGGAACACCCGCAGCTCTCCATAGAGCTTTTGCCTCCAGGTCAGGCTCGAGGCCACCCTCTTCGTGACCTTCAAAGTAGGTGACATAAAGGCGTTGAGGGTCCAAACCGTAAACCTTCGTCAAAAGTTCCCAGGAGTACCGAATTGCATCTTCCTTGAAATAGTCGCCGAAGCTCCAGTTTCCAAGCATCTCGAAGAAAGTCTAGTCATTCATTGAAATCCCTCGTCAGCGTCGAAGCTGCGTGATCACGGTAAGCTTGACTCACATGGTGGTAACTATCCTTTCCCACGTCGTCCAAATCCTGTGTTCACTTTAATCAGACTCTATGTTATCACGCCTCTCGGATCGCATGTCTAACTTACATTGTGTTTCCCGCCAGCTCGAATGCACTGTCATTGATTTTTAGTGACCAATTTGATACCAAGGGGTATTGGAGAATGACCTTCTGGGAGTTTACTGCGCTTTTCAGTTTTGCAAAATCAGAGTGCGGGTCCACGGTGCCTAGGAAGATGGACTTGAACTGATTCATTCCAGCATTGGTGAAAAGCAATGTTGGGTCCGAGAGGGGTACAACCGGAGAAGACGGAACTTGATATTATCAGTTCGTTGAATAATGAGCCGTTAAAGTCCAAATACGTACCAAATGTATGGCCGTTTTTTCTGAAATAATCAAGAAATGTGTCGCGAACGCGTTTGGCAGTCCATTCCGGACTGCCTTCGGGATCTGAAGTCATTCTGAAGTGTCGATTGTTCGTATGGAGTTGATTTTGTTCTGGTTTATGTGTAGTGTGAAGGTGGTAGAATCTTCTGGGTTTTGACCTAAAAGGTGACGGCGGATGACTCAAGGTCAGATCCCCATTTCTCATAATTCTGGAAATACGCATCAAGTGAAAGTCGATGATTCCTTGTTCCTTTTCAGACTGAAGACAGTGGATACTAATGACTGATCTTAATCTCGAAAAGAATACTTGAATGATAATCTACTCTTGCGCATCGTCGTATCTGTGGTGGGTGGTGTGAGTTCCTGATGAGTGAGGCACCCCAGCACGGGAAAAAGCGACCCGCCGAGAATGATCCTGATGGTGACCAACCTCTGGCAAAGAAGTTCGGACGTCTGCAACTAGGTGTGTTCAACGGCACTTTGATTCTATCATCCATAAAAACCATCTTCCAATATTTGCTGTATAGTTGTACATGGACTAAGACTCTCATCCCATCTAGAACCATGTTTGTTTGGCACACCTCAGATATGTGGGGGTACATCTTCAATTCAGTCAACGCCATTTGATACGACTGACCGGATGATGTTGGATGACACTAAACATACAATATACATTCATGATCTTGATTCCGAGCTCGCAGATTCCGAGGCGCAGGAGTGCTCGATCACCTTTTTGCCAGAGATCGGAGCCAAATTGGGGGCTTTGCCGAAGTTATTGACCGTTGATACACAACCTCAAAACAACGAACTGGTCCTCTACAGGGATCCCAAGTCTCTGACCGTTCCGGAGGAGGCTGATTATGTGCGAAGAGCAATCCTTGAGACCAAAAAACGAGCGAGAGCAGCTCAAACTCAGTGCAGATCTGCAGAAAAAATCATGAAAGAAGTTAAGTCAAATTCTGTGTGCAATGCTGATGAAGATGTAATGGATATAGATCCTACTACTTAATAAGTTCCCTATTTTCTTATGTCTCTTTTTCTATGCTTTTATGGTAGTGGGCAATATCTTAATTTATAGATTAGTGTAGGGTTCACTAGTACAGGATAGAAACTCTTACATGGGTATGCAAATAGCAAATGATGCCATCAAGAGCAGCCACCCATGGGATTAAATAATACTATACTCATCTGATTTAATGTGAATGTTATAATAATAGATATAGCATTATATGCCTGTTAAATAGTCTATGCTAACTAAAGCTAAGTAATAAATACTAGTGGTAGGTACACTCTATGCATCAGCTTATGTGATGGGAAGATGATAGTTAATTCTTGTAGAACTAACTAATGATAATCTTAATACATAAGAAACATAATGTAATAGTTCTTGTGATTTAGTATTTTCTTACTTAGTAATAAAGGTAAGGGACTTGATTATTTTGCTATTAGTTTGCTCTGGTTCTAGATTAGTATTAAGTATAGTAAGTCTGTATATAGTGAACTATAGGGGTTATATAGGTAATATATGACTTATATAGATATTATTACCTACTAAGGGGTGAGCATCTTATATCTTAGTAATTAGTTTATTAATATAGGTATTACTACAGTCGCACCCAAAATGTCCTTCCATGTTTTGCACAGATGGATCTGTTTTCAAACCCTAACCGCGGAAACTGGCTAATCCAGAAGCGGTTACTCTATATTACTGTCTTGTTCCCGCCTTGAACGGTATGACACCGAACAGAAAGTTAGCTGAGCAAGCTGTAATATGACAACGCTAAAGTTACACCCTGTTGCCTACCAGGCTACCATGATGTCACCTCAACTCAAGGCCACTTTGTGCTCTCACCATCCACCCACCTCAGAATGGCACGACATCTCGAGTCTCGACAGCACAAAATGGTTGTTCAGATGATACGTACAGAAAACTATCCACGTCACCGATTGCTGAGGTCGCAAAATGTAGCGAGCGTTCTGTCACGTATATCCGCAGGAAGTTGCGCATGTATGGCACTGCCAGACCTCGTCTAGTTCGGGCCGGCCGGCCACCCAGCATTACTCCTCTGATGCTTGACGGCCTTTGTGATCACCTTACTGAAAAGCCTGACCTGTATATCGAAGAGATGGCGGTCTTTCAAAATATGACTTCAAAGCTTAGCTTACAAAAGAACATACGTCAACCCGCTAGTTTTCCGCAATGCTGCTTAAAATACCCAGCAATGCCGCAAGTACTACCGCCTGTCAGTTCCTAGATGCACAATGTTCAACACTCAAGGCTGCACTAATAGAAGAACTTACAGCCTCCAGCAGTCACAACATAAGACGCAGTCCCCCAAGCGGTCTGAATTGTTGCAAGGTCCGTCCACGCGCTCGCGTTGAGCCAGAGCCCGATTGCTAAGCTTAGAAGCACCGGTAGGAACACCACGATCGTAATTCGGGTTACCGACCAGTCTAGTACAAGCTCAAGCGCGTACATCCCTTTGAGCACGTCGTGTGAACCGTTATTTAGCGTCTGGTGGATCCAATTCGCCCAGGCCTGCGTGATATAGTTGGGGACATGCCAGCTCTTGTACGTATGCAAAAGAAGCTGCAAATCCGCGACCCCATTACTGTCGAGATTGATGCGTTCGTGGGTCCCGTTCTCGATATCACACTATAGTTAATTAGTAGTTATCCGTTAGAAAAATAAAACATAAGTTCACTTAAAGGAGGTAACGTTAGTTACACACTTTGTACAATTTGAAACCTTGCACGTGTCTTAGGGAAAAAAGGGTGCTGGTCAGCCCACGCAGACGAATTGCTGCCCAACGGAGCTCCCAGAATAATTGTTTCGGCTCATGGATAAACACGGCCCGTTCTCGCGGGATAGAATAACCACGGGGGAATATACCCAGGACCACATAAACCGGTTGGTTCTGGGTGTCGAACTCGATGGCCGAGGTGCCCGTGACGCCAAGCCAGCGATTGGTGATGCTCCACTTCCACTCACGTCTTTCTTGGACCTGTTCTCCGAGTCTGACCGCATCCGGCATAACTGGCGGCTGAACAACATCTCTCAAATCCCCCCCACCTCGATTCTCCTCATCATGTGGCTGTGTTTGGACCTGTACCTGTGACTGCGCCCGAAACATCTTCCGAAATGCTGCTGGATACGGAAAGCTTGTACTTTCAACGGTACGCTCGTAGTGAATCTCGGAGCCAGCCTGAACGGCACCGCTCCCTAGTAAAATTTGCAGGCCGAATTCGTTTCTGCGCGACAAGTGAGCCAGTTGAGATCGGATACAGTGATTTTTCTGCTCGAGGTGACTTTTGTATTCTATGAGACCTAGGCCATAACGTAGATACATATGCCAAGTCCTTGTGGGGATAGGTCCGACTGGTGCTCGCTGTGCTAGTGAGATCGGTGTGTTTCCAGTGTCTTTAGTGGGCGCTGCCATGATTAACTCGCTATACATCGACAAAGCTATATTCTCAATCTATTGGTATCGGTTTCGGGAGTGAAGAGAGTCATCACAAAGTTAAAGCAGAAAGGAGCTTTTGATGGACTATAGGCTCATGGGCATTGCACACGACCTGTGTGATGGATGTCTGAGCTTGTAAGGTGATGTGAATTGTGAAGGTGGGGTATGGGGGTAACATCCAGTCAACCGTACCATACCGTTGGATCCAGTATATCCAGCCTCCGCTCGGTCGTTCATTTTTCCGTAACGTAATCCACAAGCGAGCGGGCCACCCAAGCGAGCGGGCCACCTCACGCGTTTCAGACGCGGTCACAATACTCAACCAATTCAAACCACCACCATGTCTCCAAAACAACATCAAAAATCAAAA